AAAAATTATGTCAGCCTTTGCCATCCTGATCCCGTCCAGATATGTTGGGCTTCTATCACCATATCTGCCAATTCACAGGTAGTCCTCAACTTACGACCATTTGTTTAACGACTGCTCAAAGTTACAATGGCATTGAAAAAAGTGACTTATGACCTGTCCTTGCACTTACGACTGTCGCAGCGTCTCTGCAGTCATATGATCAAAATTTGGAACCTTGGCAACCAGCATGTATTTACAACAGTTGCAGCATCCCAGGGTCATGTGATCACCATTTGCGACCTTCCTGGGGGGCTTCAAGCAAGTCAATAGGGGAAGCTGGATTCACTTAACCGTGTGATTCGCTTAATTTATTTTGGTATTTTACCCTGATATAATATAGTAGATATATATGTTTAGTATAAACATTCTTTATTTCAATAGTAGTAACTTGTTTGCTAATCAGATTAATATAAAATTGCTTTTAGGTTCAAAATCTGAGTCATATAAGAAACTCTGAGCTCCTTATTTTGTCTAATACAGTGTTTTCCAACCTTGGCAACTTCCAGGTGTTTGGACTTCAACTCATAAAATTCTTATCAATGGCTATGCTAGCTATGGAATTCTGGGATCTGAAGTCCATATATCTGGAATCTATGCAAAAGAAAGTACCTTTACTGGTTTATTTTCAGTACAGATTTCCAGAACAAAAAGTCACTTATCTGTATGTACTTGCTATGCAGAGATGCTATGTGACACAGATATGTAGTTGAATAGATATGTGCCTTATTGCTTAGATATGTAGCTGAATTAAGAGCCAGAAGAACTGTGCACTTTTATACAATACTGTCATGACTGTTTCTGTCTCTAAGCAGGAAGCATTAATATTTCAACCAATTAAAATGCTATCCTAACCCCCAACGCTTAGCGCACTTAAACTGTTGATTTGTTCCAAGCCAATAACATGACACAGTGGCTCCTTGCAAGAGTCAGAATTTCAAACTTCTTTGCCATAACTGCATTCCAATCTTACTATAAGCAAAGTGAATTAAATCCACCGGGAAGAAGCAAACGTTCCATAAGTTTCTGAAAATCTGACACTGTCCCTGGCTTTAGAGTATCTGTGTGATGGAAAATGTTTACGAAGGGGGAGGTGATGTGATTGGGCTACAGTAACACAGCAGGTTCTCTAGAAGGGGGGAGCACATTCCAAGAAGGGGGGGCGAGATAAGAGACAACACAGTCCAGAGCTGAATCGTGGGAAGAGGAAGAGATTTAGGATACCCACTCCCTAGAATCTCCCAGGTATATCCACTAGGTTACAGATTTAGTCTGGCAAGATTCTGTCTATATGGTGTAAGCAATAAAAGAACTGAACTTGGCTGGACTGTTTCTTTGTCATTTTTGGGCTGGGCCTAACAGTTTGTGGAGCTCATGCTGATCTTCTGGTTATTTGTATGGGTTTGTTTGTTCATATTTTTCTTTTACATTATGTATTGTTTTAAAATTGTAAGCTGTCCAAAGTCCTTTTGGAGTCAGGTGGCCTCAAAATCCAATATAAATGAATAAGTACCCATGAGGGTATTTCTGATTTAAGGATATTTCCCCTTGATTTCATATTACCATTCTAAAATCACTGAGTGTTGGGCATTAAATGGAATTAAGGAAAAAGCTCTTTTATTGGATACTTATGTTTTATGGAATAGCCCTCACTAGATAATTTGTTAGCAATGAAGATATTCTTAATTCTGTACCAGATGTATGTGCATTTGCAATAAACCTTAAGAAAAAAGAGCACAGCTTGAAATATAGAGATGAAAACACAGATAAAAATTCATTTATTCATCACTTCTAGACAAACTGAGGTCACAAACCCACCTGCAGTGCTGAAGTGTAATTTCATGCCCCCTATCACAATTGTGAAAACTGATGACAATTTCCCACTTACATTTTCCAGGTGAATCATATAACTTGCAGTTTCAGAGCCTCATGCAACTACCCCAAGACCACTTAGAAGCGACAACACATCTTACCACTTTAAAATGGGAGAAAAACTGTAGTGCAACTCCTAAATTATGATCAGTCTTACTTATGAAAAACTACTCTTTTCATAACAGAAAATACCTAGTTTTGCTTATATCCAATTTCTGCCTTGCATTTAGTTTTCTGGGCAAGTTACTTATTCTTGTGACTCACATGGCAACCATTCCTTCAAATTCTGAAATATATCCAGACTGGGGGTTCCTGTCTTACACCAGTAAGATAAAATAATTAATGGATATTTATTTTATTGTACCTCAGGAGGAACTTCATACCTGTCCATCCTTGACATCAAAATAGAACAATGCTTCAAACAATATTTAGCAAATAAAAGTTAGACATTTTATATAACAGTCACAGAAACCTTAACAGAACCACATAACACAGACTTCAAGAAGCAACCTGTTGTGAATTCATTTTTCTTAATTTGTTAATGAAGAAATAAGGCATATTCAGGAAAAAAAGTTACACTGTAAAACTCCTGAATACTAAGTTTTCACGATACGAATACTGTAACCTATGTTACAGGAAAAGAATGAAGAGAAAAGAGGTCAGTGATTGCTATATGTCACAGCAGGCTAGCAATTATGCACAGCATGTCAGTAGGTCAGCTATAATGAAACTCATTCATAAGTTTAACATGAATTTTGCACACATCTCACCACATCACAAACTAATACTTCCAATATACCTCACTGCATCATGCCCAGAATTTTTGCATACATTTTAAGCATCTCTTCATTTACTTCTTTCTCCAGGATACTTTCAATACCCTATGGCAGTGCGTAGATGGAAAGTAAGATGCAATTCTTGCTAACCCATGAATAAGCAACTCACTGATACATAATGTTCAATCTCTCTCACTTGGCCTCCCGAACAGTGACAGGTCTAACAAATCCAGACAATTCCATCCACAACTTATTGTGACTTACAAACCAGGAATACTATCTACATATAACACTAAATCAATAATGGATCAACTGCTGAGAATCAAATGATAATGATCAAGCAAGATATATTAGCAGACTTGCTTGTTCCCCCCAAAAATCAGAATCCTTGGAGGTCTAGATTTTATTTAAGTGCTTAACACTGGATTTAAAAAGCCTGAAAAATTTGCAAGATACCATAACAGGCAATTGTTATTAGCTATACAAGAAGCTGCACAATTCATGTCATGGAAAGTAGACTTGTCTTTCATTTTTCTTGCTTAGTGGCTACTCCTGCTGCTGCCATTATACAACAGTCCTATAATTCTCCATTTACCTGTAGCTGGGCCACTGATCATTGTTATTTCAAAACAAAAACATAAACAGAAAACTGTGTCTTCAGACTTTAAAAAATGTGTTACCCTAAAAACACTGGACCTTAGTAAACAACTGAAAATGATTTATTCCCTGATCCTTGCTTTAGTATGTTAAACATACTCTACTGAAACTATACTCACATCTGTTATACCGCCTAGGAATACTGTATCAGAAGAGGCCTTGTATCATTTGGCAAAATTCTCTTATGCTGACTGAGAATGACTTTTTAAGATAGCACTTTTCTGAGTTTGCCAAGGATTGAACCAAGGGCCTTCTACATGCAAAAGAAAAGCTCTACTGCTGAGCCTTGTTCTACACTTCTGCTATGACTGGATATCTGCTTTCCACATCCCTAAGGGAGTATAAAATTTACACTTACTGTTGTAAATTAAATCCATAACACAGCATGTATTTCCTAATTTTACAACTTTTACAAAACAGCTAAAATATCAGAAAGTTTGGTAGCACCTTTTCCAACTAACAAATTTTATTGAAAAGCATGAGCTTTAATGAACTGCAGCTTACTTCATCAGTTACCCTGCTTGTATCTGCACCAGTTTCTTGGTAAGTTTTATGGATTTCCACTTCATCCAACCGAAGCTGGTGCTTTTCATTGTAGACACTGCCCAAGGATAGCTGGGTTCATCTATGGTAAATTCAGGAGTCTGGTAGCACCTTTTCCGACTAACATATTTTATTAAAAGGCATAAGTTTTTGAAGCTTTTAAAAAAGCCTTTAAAGCATTAAGAGGCATAAGCTTTCACTTCATCTAGTGACGTCTGATGCAGCTCACAAAAGCTTATACCTTCTTTGTTCAACTCTCCTCCTATAATGAAATCAACCACTACATTCAAACAGGTATCTCCAATGTTCTATTCTAACTCAATAACTTTTGGCAGACCTTTCACAAATTCTGTGAACTCAGTACTGGTTATGAAACATCTAACTGAGATGCATAGTGTGTATAGCAACAGGAGGGACTGCATATGTCATTGTTTCTCTGCTGTCAGCATCAGGAACGGACTAGAAAAGATCCAATTAAGAACACGACATGGCATGGCAAGCAGGAGTAGGGATAGCAGCGTGACCATATATATAACCAAGTGATGACTAAGTGTCTTTTACACAGCAAGGACAATAATGTGAAATCAGGACACAAAATCAACTCTTATAAAATACAACTTTCACCTTAGGGGGCCTCGGTAGAGCTTATCTACTCTATTGTCTCAAGAAATGTGATTATAAACATCCTTTTTGGAACAGCTAAGAAGGAAGAATAGGATTACAGAGCCATCTGATTTATGCAAAACGTTTTATCGCCTCCAACACAAGTTACCTAATGCCAAAGGTTTGTTATTAACATTCTAAGCCTTTCCCCACGCCATAAGAGAAGCCAGCGCGGCCTTTTGCAGTTTATGAAACCTTTTACGCCTTTCCTACGAAACAAGGGCTGAATTCAGGAGGAAATAAGCGCGCACCAAGCCTGTTTCACGAAAAGCGGCGAGAGTCATCGTCCCCCTCCCTTCCTGCTGAGCGCTGAGACGTCAGAAGCGAGTCCTAAGGCGGCCGCGGAGCCCGGGCATTGTATAATCAGACGCCGGCGCGCATGCGCAGAGCCGTCGAATGGGGTTGAGAAGCGGCCGGTTCCATCCAGGGAGCCGCCGCCGCATGCCCACTCACCTCCACCGGTTGATCCCCACGTTGGAGGAGCCCGCAAACCAGGGGTCCAGGATGTAGACGCAGCGCACCGTGTCGGCCCCCTGGATGACTTCCCTCAGAGCCGGGTTGTCGTGGAGTCGAAGCCCCTTGCGGAACCAGTGCACTGAGTTCACTCCCATCTCTGACAAGCGGCCCGTCACTCGCCCACACAACTCGCCGGTGGGTCGGCTCGCGAGCAAAAGAGAATCGCCGGGTGGTCAGGAATGAGCGAAGTTGGCTTCGCGGCTCATGCCGAGACGGACCCCGTCACTAAAAGTTCACTCTCCGGTCAAGGCGGGGGCGAGGCGAGAAAAGCGGGGGCGAAAGACTCCCCTCGAGTGTGGCTCTAGGACCCAGTGGAGGCAGCGGCTGCGGCGGTGGAAGCAGCAGCTGCGGGAGCGTTGGAGATGGCCGCCAGCGGGAAACGCATCACCCCTTTTCCTCAGCCTCGCGCGCCCACTCAGAGCTGGGGAAGGAGCCCCACGACGTTCCGCAGACGCGGCGAGAAAGAGAGAGAGCGGCTCGGTAGCGAGGCGCGCAGCTTCGTCCTTTTTTTTCCCCCAAACCGCTTCCTCGCAGCGCTCCAAGCTGAACACCGCTCACCTCGCCGTCCGCCCTGTGACTCTACGCAGCTCTGCCGTGTGACGAGACCGCCAAGCTCCACCCTCTTTCCCCATTGGCCGGCTGCCCCACGTGATCTCCGGCGCCTCACGTTTCTGAAATGTGTTTCGTCTGGTGGGGAGCGGCGCTGGGTTTCGTGGCGTTCTAAGGTTGCCATGGCATTAAGCAAGTTATGGCCCAAAGAAAGACGCCGGAGCGAAAGTGAGCGCGCTTTTGAAGGAAGCAAAGCGCGCGCGCCCGCTTCACCGAGCAAAGAAGCGAGGCCAAAGAACGGGGGCTGAGCTGCTGTTCTAGCCACACCCTCGGGCTCGAGAGCGAAAGACCCGGATGAGCACGGGGCTTGTGTGGAGGTTTCTCTGAAGTGCGTTGATTCTATGGCGCTCGGGCGAATCCGGCGAGGATCGGTGCAATGTATTTTCTTAGTGCTCCCACCTGCCGAGATAAAAGCGCACGTCCACTTTCCTTCCTCCCCCTTTCCCGCGCTTCTTTCTGGATTGGGGCGCGTGGACTCCGCATGTGCCCCCTTGCAAGGTTGCAATAGGCAATTGAAGCCAACGCAACGAGAATCAGATCTGCGAGCCTGTTAATATACACCTTAGTGGCTAAAGTTGATCATTACATAATACCATTATGAAATGGTCCGTTGCAAACGATACTTTCTTTGTGTGCTTTTGCAAACTCTACGAAGTTAACTGCGAGGCAGTTGGAGGCACATGAAACCTTAAAGGTGACTTTTAATGATTAAAAGCAGATAATGCAATAACAAAAGTGCGCGTGTTGCTTTGTAAAGAATCAGACTTGGAAACTCCATTGGACAAGGAAAGGTTTGTGTGTAAACGTATATAGGGACAATACAATAAATGATTTAATACAGTAATGGATTTATGTCTTAGGGAAATGCTAACAAATACCATTGCTTAATGTTGTGCACAAGTAGTCCATAATCTCAAATCTAAATCATGAGGATACCAATGCTAGACCTGAATGTTTAGTTCTTGTACCTAGGGGGTTACAAAACACAAAAATGTTCTAAAACGTTTTCCCCACCCTGTGTGGAAGGGCTTTTTGACTCATACATGAGGTTCTTTAAATCAGATGCAGCCCATAAGCCGTCCCTAGTTTAAAGGATGTAAGACAGGTAATGTAGCATATTCAGCTTTGTTTTCCAGTCAATAGAATGTGTAAGAAGTTCAGGGGAAATGACTAGGGAGGAGGTAACATGTTTGTGAACTACTGTACAGCATCAGCTGCCTGAGGCAGTTGCCTCATACTCCCTAATGGTAGAGATTAATTTAGCTATGGAGGTATTTGGAGTAAGAAAAAAGATTAATAAAATGAAGTCACCTTAAGATTTATATGATTTTGCTCTGAATTTATTGATAAGAATAGAGAATGTGCATCAGGGACTCTTTAATGTTAAAATAAAATCAAGAAAGACATTTTAGAATTGACCACAATGATGCCATTTAAAATGGATGATAAATAGCTCCCCTGTTAACTTTCCTTTTGAATGTTTAGTTGCATAATGGTTCTGATGTTTGGAAAAACCAAACTGTTAACAGCATTTATTTACAAAAAAGGAAGATAGTTTAAATAAGCTTTAAAAAGATGAACAAGTCTTAGAACAGTGGATTTCAGATGGATTCCACATATACCATTCTTTTGACTACCATAATCTCATGTTAATGTTTGAGCAAGGGATATTTTTTCTGTGCTTAGGGTTGAATATTTATAATAGATTTGTCTTTATGGTGTATAGTTTCCAATGTATAATGTCATCCTGTGCACAGAAGTTATATTTTAAAATGTAAATACAAAATAAAGATAGTAATATGTGGTTTTCTACAGTGCACATTTATCATTGGATTGGAATGATACATTTTAATCCATGAACATTTCACAGAAATACTTTTTTTCAATTAAAAACCTATGGATTATTAAAACTAAATTATATTCCCTGGACATTCCTACAACAGATTAACATGGCTTCTTCTCTGCATTCTTCTTTTCTTTTTTTTACTGAAGCCCATAAGAATAACAAAGTGTTTGGTTCAGCTGCTATGGATGACATTGTTTGTGCATTACATTTTATCTAGATTTGCCAGCATTTTTCAGGCTGTAGCATGTAGTTGCTAACTGGATTTGGCCAATAGGGTATAGGCTGCATGCAACCCCATATCCAACCTGCAGGCCAAAAGATGCCCGAGGGCAAAGGTATACTGCTGTGTCTCTCCATTGTCACTCATTTTCCATGTGTGAGGACAGACAACCTGGGGAAAGCTTCATCAAGTGCTTTCCTTCTGTCACACAAGATGCATGCCAGGCAAACCACCCCACATCCAGAGGGCTCTAGGACCCAGGCTAGGGCTTCTAGATGATGTTTTGCTTCATCTACGTTGAGCATTTTCCCCTCACAAGGAAAAGGGAGGAACAGGAAAGCATCAGGCTTCTCCAAGGCTGGTCCAGGGAGTCCCCGGGTTAAAAATGCTTGGGTTACAGCTCACCCATAGTTAAGAATGAAGCCTATTGTAGCAAAATTCAAGTTAAATACACAATGGTTCAAGTTCATTACACAATACTACCTGGACAGTATTATACAATAATACCGTTCTGGCTTAGATACAAATTCAACTTAAGGTCAGATCTTGGGAACAAAATTTGTTCTTAACTAGGGACTACCTGTACTTAAACTAGAAGGGTGGCTGGCAGGGATTCAGGGATACAACTCCTAATAGGATAGCTTTTATTCCAGGTAGTATAAAAGCCTCTAGTACAAAGAACACCAATAACTGCAAATGGTTAAGATTCAAGATAGATAGATAATAATAAAGCCTAAAGTTTGAATCTTATGTCTCTTTCTCTCATCCTAAGGGGCTAAGAGCCCCTGGTTATTTGGCACAAGGATTGGTTGATACCTGTCCATTCTGTTGCTGAGGACCAGTCCTGGTTCAAGCCCTTTATGATTTTACTCAATCTAACCTGCCCAGCAAAGTAGACAACATCTCTCCGGGACAGTGTTGGCTCTTGCTCTGCTTTTCTTTTTCGTAGAGATTCCCATCTCAAAGAAGGCTGAAGCTTGAACAAACCACAGCAATTATGGAGGTGGGGGGGAAACTGTCTCTCAAGGTCTTGTAGGTCAAATCAGTTAGCCTTGCTGAGCAGAGCTGCCTCATCACAGTTGATACATAGAACTGCCTTTCTCACAGTTGATACATAGCCAAATCTTTTTAAACCCTTTGTTTAAACAAGCAATAGCAAAACCAAATCTTTTTCTCATCAGCTGCCAACCTTAACTGTATTTTTCTCACTTTATACCTCAGCTTCATGATAACCTTATGAGGTAGCTTGAGACTGGAAAACAATCAGGGTAAAAGAATTTTCCTTATATTGTATCTGCGAAACAGTAGCAAGGATATTATAAGTGTACCATATACAACGTAACAGTGTGGCATGCAGTCTAATATTTTCTTGGGCTTTTGTGGTATAATTTTCAATCTTTTATGAAGAAAAGGACCACAAAATCTATGCTTGGCAGATATTTGAACTCTTGGTCCAGGAGCTGCCTTGCCTATAGAGCCTGTGCCTGGGTGACTGCATTAAAAACACGTGTCAGGCTCATATTTAGCAAAAGTGGTGCTCAGTAGTACATTAATGGGCTACTGAACGTAACATTCCAAGCATTATTTGATCTGCATTTTCATAGTAAAACTGCTTCAGGCTTAGAAAGCCAGTTTCTCCCTAACAACAAAAGGTGAGAAGTGGAGCAGATCATTGGCTGGCAAAGAAAGATTTATTCCAATGCTTTGCAGTACACTTAGTCATTATCTGCCTGCTACGATTCTTATTTGTATTGAATTATGTTTGCAGGCACTCATAGACAGCTTAAGTAAATTTCCTTTCCTCATTTTTGCTCCTCACCACATGTACAGCATTGCTACCTGTCTATACAGCTACAAAGCCCTTCTCAGAGAATATTTTCGTATTTATAGTACTGCTTCCTATAAACTTGGTGTAAACATTTTACATATACTGCACAAATTATTAATACTAAAGTATTTTTCAGAAGTATTTTTCATTTGTAACTGTGTATCAGTTTAATCATACAGTTATGTATAGTCCAATGCATACCACTGCCAATACTGTACAATGTTTGAAGCAGAGATGCTGGGGCAATTAAGGATACACTGAAGATAAGGGGAATTTTTGTATGTTATTTCCATCGAATTAGGATTATAGATGGTGTGGTACAATCCATTTGCAGGATGTAGTACGGCTGCCATCAGGAATAAGGATTATCTGGCAACTAAATTACATTTTATTTATGTATTCTAAACAACTAAATCCTTCTGAAAAAAAATCCCTCCAGGTTGGTTTAAAATAAATAAATATTTGCAACCAGCATTATTACAATAGAATACAGTTAGTTGCAAATATATCTGCTTTGATTTGCAAGGTTGATCCCATAGACCTTTTAAATGGAACAAGACCACAGAGTTAGGAAGAGTTATATATTCTCTCTAAAGTTTAAAATCATTAAGCTATATCTTTGCTGGATGGAATAAGTGATGGCCTTGATCCTGCTCTTAAGTAAAGATAGACAATAACAGGAAGTATCTGATGTGGCAAACATCATTAGATTAGGCAAGGCCAGTCTGCCTTCATTTATTTTCCACAAATATAAGCCCAACCCAGTAATTCCTGACTACTGCAATCAATGTGTAGTGGTTTCTTGAAAAAAAAAATCTGCGTCATTTATGCTTGGGGAAAGAAATGAAAACATTTCTACATATGGTTTTAGAATATATTTTCCGAGTATCACCTTTATAATAATTAGATGATTAATGAATAGATGTGTTGATTTAATGGCAGTTGTGAGGACTCGAGTTCATTCAGGTATCCCAGTTTAATTGTATAAAGACAGGGCTCTCAATGGATTTGTATATTATGACAATATATTTTAGATATGCACATACAGGATAATTTGCCTACTTTTTCCTTAAAGCCATCTTGGAAATCACCCCCCATTTGGAAAACTCTCCTGATAGCTCTGAAAAAAGCAGTGCTAAGAGTTGTGTTAGGCGAAAGAATACTGCAAATCTGATATTACCCACATACTTGACTTTGCACTCTCTGGAATTTCTGCCCAGCCAGTTCATTTGAAATTTAATGGATAATTATAAAGCCACCATAAAACCTCAGTACTTTCCACTTTCAAAGGGAAATCGATCCAAGATTACTCCTTATTTTAAGCAATTTAAGGAAGGGAGACTATGAAACAGCTTCCCGTCCTTTCAACTGAGTGCTTATATGCTCAACAATATATTCAGCCTGCAGTAACCATGCACACTTACTTGAGGGGCAAAATAGATACAGTACATAAGAGTATACATCCAGAAAACTATACTGCATGTCTATTTGTACATACCTTATAAATTACTCTGTTTTTATTCTTTCCAATTCAATGGAACATAAGGACATCACCCCACCCCACCCTGAGGTCAGATCAACAATTCACCCACTGCAGATTCTTCTGGGCAGCCCTCGGGAAGGAGATGAACAATCAACCTTTTGCATGTTCGTGGAATTCCTTATTCAGAGGTATACAACATCTGAAAATGTCCAGCTTTCAAGAAGTCTTCCCTTCTTGAAATCAAGTGAGGTAGTGCTACGACCTCTTTTTAGCACTGCATTTAAGAAAAAAAAGTTGGGTAAATGATGGCTGGTGTGGGTCTTCCGGGCTGTGTGGCCGTGGTCTTGAAGTTTTGTTTCCTAACGTTTCGCCAGCACCTGTGACC